ACCACACCATGATCTCATCATTAATCACTACTGAGATCTCAGCCCTTTCTTACAAGAAACAAAGAGCATTATGTAGGATGAAGGATAGTTAAAAAGTTGAAAAAAGTATTCATTTCTTTAAGTATACTGCAAAAAAATTAATCTGCGAAAATCTGACTGTAACAAAATCAAATCAGTATTAGCAACAAAAATCCAAATGTGTCTTTACACGAATATATTAAGCACGGATTGAATCTATATTTGTTCTAAACACACGCATTTTCTTTAACAAGCTGCAGCACGTAAGCCAGGTTAATCTTCTTAGATTCATTCACACATTAAACTGATCAAACTGAAAAATCCCACCGAAACAGGCACAACATCGCAGGAATTTACTGGAAAACACAAAACAAGCATGGCCACCTCGGCTGGTAAGAATCACGGGTGACACTTGCTGCTTTACACTTTGTTAAAAAATGTGACGAGTTGCTGCTTGCCCGGCAGTTTTATGGAAGACCAAACTAAATAGAAATGATCCTCTTCAACTTCCACCAACTATGTTATTGAATATTAAAAGGTAAACAGTCGCACTGCTATGTTTACTGCTGCCTTAAGTTGTGAAATAACCAGATGTGATGGTTTATTACAGTAACTGTGAAATATACATTTTAGAAATATAAAATATAAATAAATAAACAGATAAATAGCTGGTTTCATTTGAAGATACATTTGTAACTGATAAATGAAACTGATCACACACTCCAGTGAACAAATATATATATATATATTATTATTGTGTATAAAAACAGCCGTGACTCCTAAACATTAATGCTGTACTACTGAAGGTCTCATTATTATACTTAAATACATGCAAAGACATAAATGTGAGTTACAGCTAATATTTCTCTGTTATTTCTTTAAAACACTCCTAAAGATCAAAAGCAGCAATTTCTTAGTCGAGCCCTGAATACGTTCTCAGTTTGCTGAAGCAACAGTACAGCTTTAAAAAGTCTCAGATAATAATAATAATAATAATAATAATAATAATAATAATTATTATTATTATTATTATTATTATTATTATTATTATTATTATTATTATTATTAAGACCATTTTATGTAAATTTAAAACAATGCTTTTTCAAAGCAGGACAACACATCTTTATTTATTTACTTCATACTTTGTACAATATTGAGTGAAACTGAGTTAAAAGTACTTACATTGTGTGTGTGCTTACCATCGGGTCATGACACATATCAGGTTTGCAGTCACCATTAGAAGTACTAGAATCCATTCATTGCTTATCTTTTGATAATATTATATTGCATTATTATTCACAATGATACAAATACAATTAGAATTGACTTCTGTCTGATATCTTCAATCCTCAGAAACCCCTCAGGCCTACAGAGTGTGCTCCTCACATGGCTGCAGCGCACTGTTCTTTAGCCCATGCTGCTACACTGATCTTTATGTGTGTTTTTTATCCACTAAGATGACTCAGCAGGTTCTGTGCTGGACTATCGGAGAGTCCTAAGGGACACTCACTTAACTCTAATAATTAGATTGATAAAGGGAAGTAAGAGGAGGATATAGGGAGCTTTAAATTAGCTGTCAAGAGCTACTTGGAGGCCCTGTTACACAGCCGAACAGGCAGGATACAATTCATCATCCTGCCTGTGCCGAGCGCTGAGGACCTTTTCATGATTAGTCCTCTGTCGGCTCATTCACTTTAAATGTGAGTGATCGTGTGTGTGGTGTTGATTGTGGATGGTGATGGAGAGGTGGGGCTGGGCCTTGATCATAACAGTCATCCCCATTGGACCATTGCAAGTCCCATCTCAAAAATAATAGGCCTTGTGACCTCTCTGTTGTCTAGAATTAACCTCTAACCCCCTCCCTGTCTGTGCCATCTGCCAATCCCAGGACAGCCGTCATGAAAAGGGAGAGGCTGTTTGGCGAGCGTGTTCACCAACTGCACGTGTGAGGGATTCAAATGGGAAACAAGAAAATGGCCTCTGCTCTAGTTTTCAGAGTATATAAGTCACAAGTTTGGGGACACAATAAAGAATGAACAACAAAAATTCTTGCATGTTCAGTGTGAGTTTATTTAGTCCGAGAGAGATCAAACATGTACAAAACTGTGATTTTTTTTAACATCAGGGAAAAGATTTCAAAATTTAAAAAACAAAACAAAAAAGAGTTATGGCTAGACAATACATACACAATGTGCATGCTGTTCAGAGTTTGGTTTCTGTGCTTGGCATGATTCTGAATGTGCATTACCTTAGCTCTGTATGGTGGAGAAATACTCAGCTCTGGGAAGAAGAAATCACTGCTACCTCCCCGGTTCACGTAGTCTGACATTTACCAACAATGAAACATCTAATGAGCAAACAACAGTGTAAAAAATTTAAAATGATCCCTAATGGATGGAGCTGGCACCTGTACATGATGACATTTATATGGCTGAGAATCACATCAGGAGCAAATGAGACACGGAACAAGGAGCTTTTCTGTTCCTGCAGCAGCAGGCAGAGAAATCTTTAATGTCCATCCAATGGAACCAGAGCCCTGATTTGTGGTGCATCATTGTCTGTGCACATTCTTGGAACTATAAGGAGGAAATGCTAATGTCCTGTTGCTGGCGGCACCATGAAAGCAATGCCAGCATGTGTGTGGCATACTGAATGATAATGACAAAGTGTACCATATCCCCCGTGAGCAAGCCTGCAGAACAATGATTACAGATTGGCCAGTGTGTCCTTAGGATCACAAGGGAGCCTGGTTCTAATGCTAATCAGTGCTGCTGCCCGCTGAAACATATCTGTGCTTGCAGGACATGAGGAAATAAGCTGGAATATCCAGCTTAGACTATAATTTTAGGACGGCGCTGTTTATTTTTTATATTTTAACCCACAGGAATTTACAAAGGCAGGTTTAACCTATTGCACCACCTGCTGGTCTCAAGTTAGTAAATAGTGATACAAGACTATTTTTGTTCTTCAAGCAATTATCCACCACGTTGCGTTAAACATTGATGTATGAGCTTCGCTGCATCCTTCATTATTCAATTTATTTCACAGGGTCTGTTAAAAACGCCTCATCTCCTTCTTGTTAGGGGGGAACGAGCTAATCCAGCCTAAGGACGGATTCACCTGCTGGTTCGGGTTTTACCAGTCTCCCCATGCCATCCACTTCCATCAGCTAACCTGCAACCCCTCCATGCCACCACCACAACCAACGGCCCTCTTGGAATATACTCTATTTTCATTCCAGGGAGCGAAACAAGAAGGAGAGCTGAGGCACAGCAATGTTCAGCTGCACACTCAATGTAGCTTAATGGAAGGGAGGAGAGTCTGAGTTGAGGCTGTCTCTGATTGGCTGGCCCCGAGATGTGCAGCTTCTCCGCAGCACAACCTGTCACAGTTAATCAGGACCCATCTCTTAACAGCCAGCCGGGGCTATTGAAGAGGTGAGCCTATTTCTATTCAGGACGAAACAGATGATAAATCATTTGTACATAATTAGTGCTCAGCAAGGTTATAACTGACACGTATTTTCATCTTAATTAGGAGGGAAATTTGTTCCATTAATTTAATTTGGTGCGCATGGGTGCCTCTGCACCTAACTAAGTTAATCTTACACCTGTCAGGGTGGGAATGGAGTTGGGCTTTAGATTACAGGGGAAATGGGAAAGAGTGCTCTATCAGATTGTTTCATGCTGCTGTATCATGAGGTAAACTCAAACTGCAGCTGCACATCTCCTGCTAAAAGCAGGACAAAGCCACACGCAGTCTGAGGCACTCAGCAGTAATTAGTCTTATCTAAGAAAGCCCTTTTTTCTGTAACATTTCACAGCCATCCCACCACCCTGCAAAAGACAATAAGCTGGCATTGCATCGTCGGTGCTCGGTCTGATAGGCATACACGCTTCTTCGTCCCTGAACAAATATTTAAGCAGATCTCACAAATTGGTGCTATGGAGAAAATCACATTCCATCATGGGACCCGTTTCCATTCAAAAGCCCACATCTCTGATTTACAGCCACAGGAGCTTTCATTGGTTCGAGCGAGAAAAACTGTCTGATCCTGTTGAGGTTCAATAGGCAGGAGTAAGTCCAAGGCCTGGGTCTCTTTTCATTGCTGGAAGCTGTATGAAGCTGTAGTAATTGCCCCAAAGAAGTGGCTCAATAAAGAGTGAGCTGGAGAATGACTGATTTAGTAACTATAAGGTTTCTAATCGAGTTCTTCATTGCCTCGCCGACACACAAGCTGACAACATTACCTGAACTGATGCACAGTCCATTACAGAGTGCTCCGCTTTAATCGAATGTCTATCATAAAAATACAGAGATGTCGGGTGCCAGCGCATGCACTCTCACCCATGTGTGAAGGTGTAACCAAACTGTAATGGCTTTTCTTTTAGATATACCACTGCATGGCCTTACAAATGAATATTAGCAGGGAAAGAGAGTGCGAAGAAATGAGCTTCTAACTTGTAAAAATGCTGCTATTGGACGCTCTTCTTTCAGACAGGAGAAATAAGCAAACTCACTGACTGAATGAAATGGGACCAGGCAAGTGCAGTCAGATGCCTGTGGAAGTAAATCATTCAGATGGTTGCAGTACAAATCCATCATACGATAGAATGCTACAGCTAAGCTTTTGGTGTTTGAGATTATCCTTAAAATTACAGGCGCAGAGGTCGACATCATTTTGTGTAATTGGAAAACCACCGATTTAAAATTAACCAGGTTAAAATTTGGACTTTAAATTTCTTCAGCTGTTGAGGCAGTGAAGAAACTCCAAACCTGTTACTGAGACCAAACTGTGTGATTCACACCGTGACTTAAGTTGTCTTGTATTTTAATTTTATGCTGCACGCGGCTTCATTACTTGTAGTCCACGCCTTTACTCATTCTTACATTTCATGAAGAACATCACAGTCCATCCATCCTTTTCAGGGTCGCGGGGGGGGGCTCTCCCAGCTGTGTTAGGGCGAGAGGCGAGCTACACCCTGGACAGGTCGCAGAGCTGTTTAAGAATTAATATGCTTATTTAAAAAAAAACAGGAAATAAGGGAGCAGCTGAAAGAACCAGTTGGTCAGGGACGAGCTGATTTTTCCTTCATGTAAAATGTCCCCATCAGTCAAAATTGAGGACATATCTGAGAGTCTGCATGATTATATTATCTAAGTATAATAAATTTAAAGTGTGAAACTGCCTATGAAGCTGATCAGTCTTCGGGCATGTTTGTGGTTTAGTTTTCCTCTCAGTGGGCTCAACATTTAACCCAAAGAATTATTTACAAGTGAGCTCAAATATACACAGGTGTCCTTCCCTGGTTCAGTGAAGAAAACTTCATTTACATCAGGTCACTTATAAATTCAGTTGGATTTTTATTGTTGTGACCATTTACTAGAATTATAATAAAAAAAAAATGAAATATCCTGAGTGTGTGAAGTTTTGACTGGTACTGAAAGAGTGTGTGTGAAAATTCCCACTTTGTGTTACATTAACAAACATGAGATGAAGACAGCAGTTCAAAGACACTCCCTCCTTTGTTGATGATGACCTAACATACTGAAACTTCCCCCTGCTGTTAAACTCGGGTGAAACATTACGATAAAGCACACAATGTGTGATTACAAACATTTTGTAGGAGCAGTGAACCCTTGTGTACAATAGATGGCAGCATTCCCACACAGACCAGGACAGCCAACTGCCCCCACAGCGCAGCCCGATCTCCTACTGCAGGGCTCAGGATCAGCTCTTTTAATTCGTCTCCCATTTGTACCTGTCATATGAAATACTAAAGCGCCTGTGGGCTGTGTGCACTCTGCTTTAACAACACTTGAATTTCCCAAAGAAATAAAAGCTACATTACATTTAGACTGAATACTGTAACCATACGAGATGTCAGGATAATATTCTGTTAGTAAATACTTTAAAGAAGCGCCATAAATAGAATTTCAACATTTCTAATACTTTTGTCGTATGCTACTTCCTTCTTCCACTGACTACATTTAAGAGGAAAAATGGATCTTTGAACTACAAACGACCATGTAAACTCATCAGATTTTATATAAAAGTCCAGCAGCTACAACATGGATTACATTGTTGCCTCAATACTAGTAATCTAACGATGTGCATCACAGACCCCTTAACCAGGTTTACCTGCTAATACTTACTATTTATGTAGGATTTACTATGCAGCTCTTTCACTTGAGTATTATTACAGTTGCTTTGATACTTTTACTTGAATACTTGCTGTGTTTCAATGCACAAAGCTGCAACACTCCCGTGTATGTTTAAATGAATTCTTAATGTATGAACGTCTTTGTATGTTACTGCTCTAGATGTGTAAGACTGAGCTTATCTTAATAGCTTAAACAGCAATGCGATGTGCTCATGTTTATAGTGACACGACACATTAACTCTTAATGTAATGTACAGCCCTATTTTCAGCCCAACTTCTAATTATCTTAAAAATCAACAAATCGAACATCTTTTCATGGGACTTAATATAATCAGAACAAAAGCTAAAGTTCACACACAAACGTAGTGGAGTCAATACAGACCATCCGCTTCGAGTGAAGTCAGTGGAAATATAAAGTAACATAAATTGTATATGTTTCAGTATTTATTTACATTTTTCTTGAGTACTTAAATGCGTATGATAATGATTATAATTATATTCATTTCCCTTTGGGATCAATAAAGTCATACTTACTGTATACAGTTACATTAACTGGTGAGTATAACACACAATAACCTGGGAATATGCTGCAATATACAAAGATTTGTCTCCATTAGAGAAAAATCACAAACCACATTTCAACACATTCGAAACGTTTCACAGCCTCGTGTAAGAGAAACAGGAAACATGTTGGCAGCAACAATGTGCAGACTCTGAATCTGCAAACACTTCATCTCATGTGAAAAACCTTTAGAGCCCAGCCTGTGTGTTGTACCACAGGTATCGCCTTTTCCAGTAAAGATTAGACATTATAGCACACATGACATAGTGGTGATAAAAGATTGATTCAACACAAACTGGCAGGAAAAATAACAAAAAACACCAACAGTCAGTATAAGAGTGTAATTAAAAAGCACATTTTCTCCAAGAAGTTACAAAGCAGACATCTCGACATTCTGAGATATTCGTTTTCTACAGTGTCTCACAGTTTAGGCTCCAACTACAGGGTGAAACAGCACAAGTTCAACTCCAGTAAGAATTATTTCAGGGGTTCTCAACAAATATAACATTTAAAAGATCTCATCACCATTTGATCAGATCAGCCCCTGAAACATAAAACAAAATTATTAATGATATTTAGTCACTTCAAATATTCTGACATTACAGATCAATTCCACTGCAGCAGGGAAAGAAATGTTGTGAAGCGGTGTTTTAATAATGTCCACAAAACAGCTTCTTTTAAGCTCTTAAGGTTTTCTTTTCACACTACTGCTGGTTCCTGCAGACGCTCCGTTCTTGTCCTTCACTAGCTCCTCCCGAGTCATGGGCTCGATGATGGCGCCCAGCTTGGTGACGACCTTGGGCTTGGTGACCTTTTTGACAGTGCGCTCTGTGTTCCAGGTGCGGCCAAGCGCAGAGCGGATGGTGTTCTCAAAGACTGAGGGGCTCTCAAAGGGAAAGGGCAGCGCGTTGACCTGGTGGAGCCTGATGGAGCTGCTCCTCTTCTCAGAGATAATGACACCTGGTAGATGCTGGTCTTTCCTGGGTGTGGGTGGGGTCATCTTTCTCCTGAACTTCCTGCGTTTTCTGCATGATGGCTGCAGTCCTCCCCCTCCCCACTCACCCCACCCAGGTAGTGTCAGGTCTACCGCCTTAGGCTTCCCTGCATCCTCTTGCTTCCTCTTTTCCTTCAGAAAGTCAGAGATGATGTCATCTCCAGCAAAGGCCTCTTTAATGAGCCCCCTCTGGTCCAGCTTTTCCTCCGAGTCCTCTGCATCCTCGATGGTGGGAGCAAAGGGAACCTGCAGGACCTGTGCGCCCTTGGTGAGAACTTGTTTCAGCTCAATCCCTTTCCTCCTCTTCCTGCTTTTGCCCGTCTTTTGTGCGTTTTCTGTGGCTGGAGGATGCTGCGGAACAACAGGTCCTTTATCTGTGGCTTCCTCCTCCTCTGCCTCCTTGCCCTGTGTGAGAAGCTCTTCATCCTCTTGACACCTGATTTTGAGCTCCTTTTCCTGCTCAGCTGCTGTGTCAGCCTCTCCACAGCCCTCTGCTAATCCTTTGAAAAGGCTTGTGAACTCTGAAAGCTCTTCTTCCTCTTTGTCAGAAGCATCTTTGTTTTCCTCCTCCTCCTCCATAAGCATTACAGGTGCGTCAGCTTCCTGAGCTTGACGCCGTTTCCTCCTGTTATCAAATTCTCTGAGTAGCACCTCTTCTTCTGTCTCCTCCACCTCCTCTTCCTCAGCTACATTTTCCTCAGCTCTAATAGTCACAGCATTACTTGTCTCCTTCTCCACGCAGTCTTGAGAGAGTTTTCCAGTCATCCAAGGATTTGAAAAATCCAGTCCTTGCTCTGCATCATTCACAAAGTCAGGCACCACGTCTGCGTTACCTTCTTCCTCCATCGTCTCCTCCTCTTCCTTGTTCAGTGAGGTCACCAACTTCTGGGTCAGGTCTTTGTTCACTTCCAGCTGCTGCTGAATAGCTTTGCGGGCACCTTCATCATATTTTGCCATGATGGCCTTGGACCTGGCCCACTTACTGCTGTTCTGGTGCTTCAGTGACATCCTCTCCTGCATCCTCGCCATCTCCATCTTATTGAGCTCCTCCAGCGCAGCAGCCGGGTCTCTCTTCACCATCTCATCAAACTGCTTCTGGAAATCCTTGGATTTGGCCTTGTTCAGCACTTTGTGGTATTTCTTGCTCTTGATCTTCCTTTGCCTCCTCGCCTTGGCCTCGTAGTAGGACTGAAGAGCCCGCGCCTTCTGCAGCTCTGCACGACGTACCTTAGCTTCCTCCAGGCTCATCGCTTTCACGGAGGCCTCCTCAGTGGGAGTAAGAATGGGGTCATTAATAGGCTGCTTGTTGGCAGACAGGAGAGTGAAGACTTCTTGCTCAAGCGGAGTCTGAGCCTTCCAGTCCATCACCACCCTCTCAATGGGTTTGGGGCCTGAATGCTCCTGATTGAGAGGGAAGACCAGCTGCTCAGCCCTCTCATTCTGTCTGATGACACTCTTCCAGTGGCTCACCTCTTTGGAAACCTTCTGAAAAGCCAGATCTCTCCTTATCCTCTCGCTCTCCTGCTTGCTTAGCGGGCACTCTATGGTCTTTCTGCTTTGCTCCATATTCTTCAGCCGCTTCTTGCTCTTGCCTGAGAGTCCAGGAGTTGTCTTCATGGACCCTATCAAGTCCGACAAATCGACTTTGTCGCCCTCGCCCTCTACGTTGACCGTAAATTCGGACATATGCACGGCCGCCTCGGACCTCTCCCCCAGAGTTTTCTTCCTCTTACCACTGAGAGTGCCGATAGCCTCCAGCAGCTTTTGGCGTTTTCGTTCATCGTACCCGTCTTCGTCCTCAACAGTAACATCATCATCAGTCGCATCCTCCTCCTTTTCGTCGTCGTAAATCACGTCTGGATGCCCCTCGTTGCTCTGCTCCGCACCTCCGGAGCGTGTTTTCTTTTTACTCGCTTTCTTTTTCGAAACTTTAGCCATGCTGAAGCAACAACTGCCGGAGCTCAATGCACTAAACTGGGACGACTGCGTGCCCCACGTGTGCCGTAAAACAACCCGTTGTCGTGAAACTTGCGACAGTGAACAACACTGTCGCAAGTTTGTTGGTTTGGTTTTTTTTGGGGGGGTCCCACTTCACACTGTACATTATCATTTTATCAATAATATCATCTTAAATAAAGAGATGAAAATGTTCCTGTCGATGATGCGGAGACATGTTTAAGAATTCATAATTATTCTATGAACGTTACGTAATAAACACTAACCAGCTTCAGAGTGTATACTAAATGTTTGACCCACATTTGATAATACTCTTGTGTTTTTATTCTTTTATTAGCCATGGCTCCTTCTTGGTCGAAAGCATCTTCTAATACAGTTATAATTTCTCTTTGTACCTTGTGGTTGTGAAAATATAATAGCTTGGACATACTGTCACATTATCAAACAATAAGCTCCTGAAGAATCTTTTTGTTGTTGTTGCAAAGCTGATTATCTGTTCATCCAGAGGCACCTTTATGTCCGTTTGCTGTTTCAGGTCAGTGCTGCGTCCCCATCTGCTGCTCACACTCAGAACCACTCGGTCGTTGTTATATAACATACATTCCGTTGGACACACTTGGAAACGCTGTGTTTAATATTTCCTGTCATGTGCTACTGTCACGTGACTGTCATCAACAGTGCAGTTAAACATGGCGGTGGCTACATCTGTTTTCCACAGAGTAAGAACCGGGTCGAAAATAGGCGCTCAGTATGACCAAGACGGCAACCTCATCCAGGTACAAAGTAGCTGGATCAGATTTCAACACTGCTGTGATGATGGGCTTGAACTGTCACACTGCGGACGCATATCGATACAAGCTAACACTGAAGCTAACGGTGAAGCTAGTTTGTTAATGTTGAATTAATAACGTTTTGATGCATGCTAAATCATCCACGCAAGTAAATCCCAAAAAGTTTTTTCTGTTGATTAATGAGCAAGAAACTGACCTCACAGCTGTTCCTTCAGTGGGCTGGTTTCAGTCACTGTGCGAAAGTACTGTTTATAAGACCGAGGAAACCTTCAGTCAGCTGAAACTGAAGAAGTCACCTGGATGGGTGACGAAACGTTTGTCCCAGTGAAATCGCTACGTCCAGACGAACAGAATCAACCTTCTGGGATTGAGTTAATAACGTTTAAAATCGTGCTAGTAGTAATTTTAGTAACAAAAAACGGAAGAGTAAATGTGAAGGTCTGAGAGCAGACGGATTAGGACCTCAGCCATGTGTGAGCTATGAAGTGTTTCTGGCCTGCAGGTGGAAACCCGGGAGGATGAAGAGCAGAGCGTGAAGCTGACAGAGATCCTGGAGCTCCTGCTGGCAGCTGGATACTTCAGAGCCCGGATTAAAGGATTGTCACCTTTTGATAAGGTATACGCTGGACTTCTGATTGCTCTTTTCTTCCTCTCTGCTCGTCTTCCATCCCAACTGGTTTTAGCAGATTAATACAACTTGTTCCTGCTGAAGGTGGAAACAAAAAAAATGTTCAGCATTTCAGCGTTTCACTAATTGAGCTAAACACACATCCGAGTACAAGCTGACTATAAAGGCAGTGAGGAGGTGATGTGTGACCAAAAAGTAAACAAACTTCTCCACCAAGCACTTGCTGGCTACACGGACTGGTACTGATGTAGCATCATTCTACTCAGCTGAGCATTCAAAGTGCCTCCTGACAGCTCTCATTCACCCAGTCGGCTTTTATCTGAGCACTCTCTGACATTGACACACACACTCACTCTCTCTCTCTCTCTCTCTCCCCCCTCCCCCATGGATGCATTGCGAGCAACCCAGGGTTCAGTATCTTGGTTAAAGACACTTTAGCATGTGGGCTGCAGGCTTGATCAGCTCTACCACCACAGCTGGCTCCATGTGATATATGAAAGGAAGAGTAATCTGTGGGTAATAATCACTGGTGCATTGACCTGGTGGTAAAGAATGACTCTAAGCAGCCTGTTGAAAACCTTGACCCAAGATACAACCTCCCATGTAGAAAATATTTTTGTAAAATGTATTAAATTAATTTTCACCTCAGAATTCTACACGCCATATCCCATAATGACAAAGTAAATAAAGTTTTCTTGAAATTCTTGCAAATGTATTAAAGATAAATGAATAAATGACATGTAGATTATTATTTACAACTTTACCTTTGGAGAATTTAGATGACAGTCCATGATTTGGAAATTCACACACCTGTCTATATAAGGTCCCATAGTTGACAGTAGATGTCAGAGCACAAACCAAGCCAACCATTTGAGCAGCATTCCACCTTTAGAGTGGCCAGTCACACGACAGCCCACCTGGTGTTTGCCAAAACACACCATGAGAAACAAAATGACCTGGTCTGATGAATCAAAGATTGGCATTCAGGCCAAAGAGTTCAATCGTCATGCCAGATGGAAACCAGGCACTGCTTATCACCTGGCCTGTACAGTCACAGGTCACCCACAAATCTGAAGGTTGGTAGTTCGATCCCTGTCTGCTCCAGTCTGCATGCCAAATATCTTTAGGCAATAAACTAACCTCAAATTGCTCTGTGATGTCAGAGTATGAATGTGTGTGAATGTTAGTTAGAAGCATGTATGTAGGAGAGGCATAGAAAAAAAAGTTCTGCTGTGAGTGAAGTTACATAAAGCACTTGGAGTGCTCAGAGTAGAAAAGTGCTGTAGAAGAAGCCGTTCTTTTACAGTGAAATGTGTGATGCAGCATCACGCTGTGGGCAACTAGGAGACTAGTTATCTTTCTAAGGGTATCTCCCTTAGAGCTACGGTGAGGAGAGGGGCTCATAGTTGAGCTGCTATGCTGCCCCTCGACACTGCGAGGAGCCAGTTGAGGTGGTTCGCGTATCTGACAAGGATGCCTCCTGGGTGAGATGTTCTGGGCTTGTCCTATCAGCAGCAGGCCTCGGTGTGCACCAAAGACATGCTGGAGAGATGATATTTCTTGTCTGGCCTGAAATGCAGCAGTGTTTCTGACTGGGCAGAGGGAGGTCTGGGGTTATCTGCTTAGGCTACTGCCCCTGCAACCTGGCAACTGATGACTGGCACTTATATGAACACAGAAACATCAAGTCAGCAGAGATATGAATCATTCCTTTATGTCAGAACTGTTGGATTAAAATCTGAATAAAAACATACTCCAGATATTTGAAAACTGTGTTTAGCATTGATCCCATCCTGTACTTGTTTAGATATTTGCTTAACAAGTTTAGGATCCCTGGTTGATTTCTGAGAGGAGAAACAAATCCCTTTGGGTTTGCAGCAAGGGCATCTGCTGAGCGACCTACTGTGGTGACGCCTTGTGAATGAAGGTCTCAGTAAAGCCAACATGTTTGATGATATCACCGGCAGCGGGAAAGCCACTTCTATTTATGTTCTGCATTTAGGTGTAGGTAGGCACTGCAGTATTCTCCTGAATGATGGGTGTCGCCATTCAGACAATACCAGCACATCAGCACTGATACAGGAAGAGAAGTCGAGTTGGAAGCAGAGAAACTACAGGTTTCTTTGGTTTGTTTTAGGGTTTTTCTCTCTGTTGGATTAGCTAGCCCACCTCTACCGTGAACTGAAGTATTTATTGTTATTGTGCATTTAACTGAGAAAACCTCAGCTCACAGTTCTCCTCTACAGGTGGTTGGGGGTATGACCTGGTGCATCACCACCTGTAATTTTGACATAGACGTGGATCTTCTTTTCCAAGAAAACTCAACTATTGGGCAAAAAATGTGAGTGTTGGCTGATTTCTTTCCGAGTTTCTCTAGACTGGTCCAGATAAATCAATTTAAAGTGACACATCATACGAGCCACATTTGAATCCAGTTAAAAATGAATAATTTTGCTAACTTAGGAGCAGCTCAGATGGATAATGTCATCAGATATTTGGTTACATTTTTCCACCCTTTTAAGTGTTTTTCTTTGTCTGGGTTTTGCAGTTTCACACTGGTTTCTTTCTAACAGTGGCAAGGGCTGTTTCGTTGCAGATCCTTGACAGAGAAAATTGTTTCTGTTTTACCAAAGATGAAGTGTCCTCATCGCCTGGAACCCCATCAGATCCAAGGGTTGGATTTTATCCACATTTTCCCGGTCATACAGGTACACGGAGAATTCAGCCAAACTAATCTCAGATGCATTAATGTGCTTAATGCATCTGAGGAAAGTGCTAATGAAAAGGTTAAGTGGTCTACTTAAAGTGTGCAGTGTTTCCCCTAGGCGGACCCTCACACACCCACATTCAGTGCTGACGTTTTCCTGTCATCACAGTTTCAGGGTTTCATACTTTACAGAATTCAAAACGCTGATATGATGTTTGTGATTTGTCTTTAAAGAACGTATTCATAGCTGCCTGGAAGCGTGTGAGTAACATTAGTATTAGCTAATGAGCTTTGACTGCTGCTGGCATCAGATCCAGTACAGCTAGCAGGTCCAGCTGGAGCATGGGCATGGTCAGTCTGTATCTGCTGGTTCGTCCTTGTGTTTGATGAGCTGTGTGTTGTTTCATGCCAGTGGCTGGTGAAGCGAGCCATAGAGACGCGGGAAGAGATGGGAGATTATGTGAGAGCCTACTCCATTTCTCAGTTCCAGAAGTCCCACAGCCTTCCAGAGGTAACAGACATTCAGCATGAAGACCAGGGCGTAGCTTTACTGGACACATCTTTGTATACAAAGCTCATAAAATCACTTAAAGAATTTAGTTGTTAATGACCTCTGCTCAGTGCCATTATCTCCATACCGTACACACAGGCAACAGGTCTTACTACCGTCTCCTCAACCGTGCCATTGGCTCTTGCCGCCATCCTTCTCGCTCTCTTCTCCACCCTGCTTGCAGTCTCTTCATCTCTCCTGTGCAGCTTCCATTTCTTTGGGTGGTCAAGTCCAGGTTTTTAATTCTAATGAGTATTTAGACATCTGCTTCCTGCCTGTCTCCTTCTCCTTCACACACACATTCTCTCTTGTTTCTGCTCTCCAAAGCAAACCTCCCCCTTTCTACTCTTTCTCTCACCTGCTTCCTCTTTCTTGGGCTTATTCTCGTATTCAACAAACAAAAAATAATAAATGGCAGGTAGGCGTAACAGTACAAAGGATTTTCCAGAGAAGCCCACCTGGAGTTCCTCTGGTTAATTACATCTTGACCTACGTTCAAGTGTGATTGTTTTAACTGGACTGAGTTTATGAAAACAGAAAGTAGTCATGATATATATGAAATACAAAGTCAGACAGAAAAATAAGGCAATAAAATATTGAGTAATCAAGATAAGAAGGAAGATCTGTGGGCTTGTAGTGATGATTGTACACACTCTAATTGAAAGTAATGAGACACAAAGGCATTAACATGGTAAACATCACAAGAAGGCAAGAAAGTAACGTTGGGACTTCGTGTCTCATTGTAGGAATGGGGTTCAGTGTCAGAAGTCTAACACGGTATTCAAGTTTTAATGAGCGCTGTATCACAACCCTCGCAGTCATAGAAACATGTTTAGTGTTGGTCGGCCACATGTCATTAAACGTCCTGTGTGTAAGAGGTGCTGTTCACTGTACTGTGACAGGATAAAGAGTTCGTCCAGAGGAAAGACAAAGCAGTGAGGGCAGTGCTGGACGTGTTGGTGAGTGACGACACCGATACAAACGATACACTAAAATGAAATGTACCTGCTTAATCAGCAAAGTCAAATCGTAGGTCTGTTGTTTAGATAACTGCTGGGCTTTTTTGAATGAGCCTCGTTCTTTTCTAGGAAGTGTACAAACCACAGAGGAAGTACAGGAGGCACAGGAATGCAGAGGAGCTGCTGGATGAGGAGTCCAGGGTCCACTCCACTCTGTTGGAATATGGAAGGTGAGCTTTCACATCCGGGATGTGCATCACTTTCCCTGTTAATCCATCTTTTGCCAAAGCGGCTGTAAGACGTCTGTCTCATTTATTTGTATTTCCGTGTAAATAGAAAGCGCTGAGCTCTCTCTGTCATTTCTCTTTGGAGCCATTTGTAGATCAACTTTTATTCTTATAAGGCTGTTGGTGCCCTCGTTTTGTTGTTGCTTTTCTCTCCGCTGGGCTTTGTTCATATTTTCTGATGTTTATAGACCAAGCAGGATAGTAATAATAGGACTAAAATGTGCACTGGCTGCTCGCTTTATTGGACATATCTGTTAAACTGTTCTTTTTAATTAAACACCACCCAATTACAAATTTAATGCATTTAAAACTGACCCAATCTCAGCAAAGGGCTTTTGCATCTCGCCTTCTGTTTATCTAAGAGCAGCGATGGAAAACTGATGGTACATCATCTCCTACGAGGCTGAGGGGCAGGACTGGCAGCCACCGATGTTTTTACATTTCATATAACATGGTGAAAGTTTCAGATAAGCTCAGCCATCTACCTGCTTAAATGTTGTGTTAGAAAGCAGCAGAAGAAAGGGAAGAGAACTACAATGTCTTATTTTAGAAGGATTGATTGTGATGAAAAATCTGCAGAAGTTACATAATGTAAACATTCTTACACCGTTCAGTCTGTACCACGTAGATTTCAGGTAGCGCTCCACCAAGGTGCACCTAATAAGGTGGTCAGTAAATGCATAGGAATACAGAGGTTTTGTGTGCTGGATCAGTCGTTGGGCTGTTCCTTCTCTGGGCGCCACAAATTGACCTTCTGTGTCTAATTCCTCTCAGTGTGTCAGCGTAGATCTTAGTTTATAGGAAACGAGTCAAGAATTAAAAACCTGAGATTTAAACTTAGACAATGTTCAGTGTCTCATCTGATATATTGTTTTGTTTTTTTTCATTCATCCATCCCTGTACTAGCCTCTGTACTAGAATGTCAGAGCTCTTGCTGTAAGTACTGTATAACTGTGTGAAGCTGGGGGGGGGCAGCATCTGCTTACAGCACCCTGTGTTGTGGTTCAACATGTTTGTCAGAGAATGCAAACAGTGCACACTTATTTTGGCATGATGGACTGTGGTGCTGCTTCACTGCACTCCTGCATTTTATTTTATGTTTTTTAGTTAAACAGACACTGCAGATCGAGGAACCATGTAGTTTGTCCACCTGATGGATTCATGCGCTTTCTTGTGCTGATACTTTTTTATCGCATGATGTAAATGAATTTTGGGGGTTTGGATTTATTCCAATCTGAAGTCATATCTCATACTCATTGTTTGTTTTGTTTTTTCCAGGCGATATGGATTCAGCAAGCAGAGCAAACAAGACAAGGTAGGCGCCTGAAGGCCTGGACTGTAGCTGCTTCCACTGTGGGTAGAGCTGCAGGGAGGTTTGGCTGCTCTCTGGTCAGCAAGGATTTTGCTCCGTTCTTCATCTTCTCTTCTTTTTGCCCCTTTTCAGGTCGATGAGGGGAAGGCTTCACTGGCCGGTGGCTCGCAGGCAGCATCTCATGGGGTGGTTGACGTGTCAGAGGAAGAGGACCTGCAGGCAGTAGAGGAAGTGAGAACTTTATTTACTCAGCATTTTATACAGAAAGACAAATTAGGCACACGTTTACAGTAGAGGGCAAAAAATGATCCGCTAAGCCTTTCAGTTTAAACATTTAATTCACTTCAGTTTTATTTATGTGGCACAAAATCACAACAGTAAGTCACCTGAGGGCGCTTTATACTGTAAGAAAAACACCCAAGGAAGTACTAGGCAACAGTGCCACAACTCAGAGTAAATACAGACTTAAAGTTCAGCTGTACACATTTGAACCACAGTCAGCTCCCACAGAAACTCACAGAGATTCACAGTGAATCATAACTTTTGTGTACTGTCAGGACTGTTAACAGTGAGCCAAGTTTAGTTTTAGCTGAAATGAAAAGCAGCTTGATAAGACAGTAACTGAGCTCGTCTGCTGTTATTTGGGTTGAACTAATGTCTCCTGTCTCGTGCTCTTGTTCTTGATTTTCCTGTTGTTCCTGGGCCTTAAAATAATGCTGTTTGGTGTGGGCTTTGCCATTTTAGAAGTACAACAAAAATCTATAGCTGACTAATGAAAAGGAAAAACTCTGAGTCAAAGCCAGCGTGTGGATGCTCTCAGGTTGTTGTGATCTGTGTCATCGGTCTGTTAAAAAGCCTGGAATAATAAAATAAGACCATATTGTGTTCAACAAATAAATGACATTTATTTTTTTCCTAGATGCGAATTAAAACGTTGATGACCAACATGGCTGCCATGGCAACAGAGGAGGTATGTAAATGAAACACACGGCACAGAGAAGCAGAACATTTCTGCATCCGGACAACCCAAACATATAAATGTATGTAAAGGAGCCAAATAGTGGCTGTTCTGATATTCAGCTCTCACTGAATAATCTTGTTGATTGCATGGAGTTTTCTTTGATTCCTGTTGCCTTTCCTCACCGCTGCACTGTGGTAGTGACTGAGCCTGTGTTTTCAGGGGAAGCTGACAGCAAGTGCAGTGGGTCAGCTCGTCGGGCTGCAGTCTGAAGAGATCAAACAGTTTGCTTCTGAGTATGCTGAGAAGGTAAGCAGCTCTACACTGTCTGGTCCAAGTTTAGACTGCAGTTGCTGTGTTAGTCAAAGAGAGGGTGATCTTATAGTACAGTTCTGTCCTAAACACCAACTGTATATAAGATGCTGCTGTGTGTTGGCAGCTTTTTAAAGTGTTCATTCGGACTTTCTTCTTAATCAAACGCAGTGAAAAAATCACCAGTTAGCATGAATCCAAACCAGAATGTCACCTAATGGAAGACATCTTCATCTTTCTAAGAGCATTGCTTTGCTGACTGTTGTGTCCTCCTTGTGTCCCTGCAGCAGTTAGAGCTGTCCTCAGAGGAGCATGAGCATTATGGCCCACTGCAGCAGCACCACAGGGTGGTCGCCTCATTCAACAAACAGATCCAGCAGAAGACTAAAGAGCTGGGGGAGGTGTGTAGGTCACTGTGGTTTAATGAATGTGCCGTCCTCAACTGTGTCTCGGTAACTGTGAAGCAAACTTTTGATCCTAATGTAGCAAAAGCATGAAGTGATTTGGTTGTGGCAGTCGTAATAGTGTCAGAGCTTTGACTGTATCTGTTTTTGTGGCCACAGCTGCAAGCCAAGCATGCAGAGGTGAAGATGGGCTGTGATGAGGACAAGAGGAAACTAACGGAGGTGAGCTCAGGTCAAGGCTTACTTCACTGCCCAGTATGGATCTGATCCACTGGTTTACCTCCAACCATGGTACAAATGAAAGTGCAGCCTCTTAATGATAGAAAAACACCTGGTCCTTCAAATGAACAACAACACCTGATATATTACACTGTGATTGTTTAACACACACACACACAGCTGGGACACAAAATCACCTTTGGATTTAAGAAGTGACCTATTTTGTTGTCACCACAGGACAGGAAATCAGAAATGTCAGAGGTCAAGTTTTCTGAAAGTCTTGCGATGACTTGAGAACAAGGCGACGTAGGATTTTGATGCCACTGGTGTACGGGTGTACTGGTACCAGCTGCTGCTGCCAGTATTTATGGAGTTTGTCTGAGCTGGGTCCACTTCTGGGAATCTTTTTTTTTTTTTTTTTTTTTTTTTTTGTAATAATAACACCATAACACTTTCCACTGAGGGGCAGCATTTTTGCTTTTTTAAGACCGTTGGTCTACATTCGATTAACAGCACCTGGATATTGGTACCAATGCCTGGGCCACACGTTTGCCTGACCTCTTTGGTCCATCTGAAGCTCTGGTCCAGATCTGGGAGGAGACTCCCTGGGACGCCATCCATCATCTTATCCTCTCATCATCAGGATGCGCCTTCTTTTCCACATGCATGTACATGTAGAGTTGTTCACATTGAAATAGAATTAGTCAAAACTGTTTGGCAAAGAACTGAGCTAAAACGTTCAGTGAAATGTCCAGTGTAATATGTTCTACATTTCAGGGAGCTATCAGCCATTCAGATGCTTTGATCAGTAGCTTTAATTTGCAGGCTACAAAGGTGTCAGAGACTTTGGGGAAAGAGTTGGTGTGTTTGGAAGAAGTGGAGGAGCAGGCTGACAGGAGGTGAGTCAACAAAAACGGTCCTTCTGTTATCTGCTAACGTTTTATTCTCAAGAACTGCGAACTCAAAATACACACATGTGCGTTGAAATGTTTTCTAATCTAAATCTTGAATATACATTTTTTATACACTTTTTTTTAACAATACATCAACCAGTTCCCCACCTAGTATATATTCTTGTTGGAGTAAAATTGAATGTACTGGTAGTTACACAGCACCTTTGTAATGTGGACACTGTCTGCTCCACATTAGAATAAAAAATAAAGGTAAAATGTGCTGTCAAACATAGATGGGCACCTACTGATGGGCTTGTTGCCATAATATACCATTTTATGTTGTAACTTTACTGCACTCTGTGTGGTTTGATGACAGCATTTTGTGGGTTATTTTGTAAGTGATTTATTGCCAGCAACAGATTATCTGAGAGCTGCTAATTATGGATTTCATTTTCTGCCCAGAAAGAGCGTTCAATACATATTATCTTTAGAAGACTGCATTTCCCAGAATCCCTTTCAGTAGAGATGGGAGGTACTCCTGTTTGGCTAGGGAAAGAAAAGTTCTGCAGGAAGCCAGCATGTATGTTGCTCTGATGTTGGTCAGTTTTTGTTGTATGGCCCTTTTTTGAAGGCGATCGTTTCTGTAACTGATGTTCGATCCATTTTCTTGGCTAAGTGGATTTGCCACATTTTGTATTGACAAACATAGTGTGTGATTGCTGTACTAAAATGGGCTTGACCCTTTAATCTGCAGAGCTGGTTTAAGCAGCTTCTTGTAGATCTCTACAGTGGTGTTGACAAAGTCTTTGCCCCCTTCCTGTGGTTGGGGGGGGGGTTCGGCCCGCTCGTCTTTGAATTGTTGTAATTCAGCCACATGCGAGGGTTTTGGAGCATGAACCGAAAGTGCAGCACCCGATTGAATCCTGACGATGAATAAATAAACACTTTAATAACACTATTTGTAAAAAAATCTATTGCGTAGATGGCTTACCAGCAGTTTTACTAATAATGCATGGATTGCACCGTTTTAAAATGCAGTAAATTGCCTGCTGTGAACCTCCTGTATTTTATTCTTTGGACTCTCCTTTCACGCTCTGCACTCTGATAAATCACTGCAGTTATTTTAAGGCCAAACCAACTTTTACAGACAGGTAAGAAAGAGCAGATGGTCGCTGGCTTCACAGAGAATTCATTAGTCACACATCAAGTGATCGTTCAAACCCCCCACAGAAGGTGAACGACTTCCAAACTCTGCCCAAATATCCTCTCTGTGCCGGCTGTGAGTTTAACACATGTAAACGCTATTCCAGGAAAAACTGACAGAAAGTATTTACTGAAAAATAATATTAAAAAAAAATCGTTTTTTCCTATTCCATTTTTGCTATTCTGTTTTTATTGCCACACTTCGTTTGCATTGAAACTATCATCAAGGTTCTAAGATCAACTAACGATCGAAGAACCTTCAACGAACACGCCGTCAGCTCAGCCCAATGTCGTTTGTTTGGGTTTTTTTATTTATTTATTTATTTTAGAACAAACAAGTAAAAGATGAATCACCTCTATCAAAAAATGATGTTTAATATCATTATAGCAGCACATGCTATGATATATGAAGACGTCTCCTCAGTGTTGAAAGTCCAGTGTAAACAACAGCAGTCACATCTTGTGGTGAAGAAGTTCTTTAAAATCAAATGATTGGCTGCCTGTTCAGCTGCAGCAGTGCAGCAGCAAATGTAACCCATGATTCTGGGCCTTACCTGACACTGGACTTTGCCCTCTGTGCATCTATGAAGCAGCTGTGAGTAATAATAGGTTTATTTCCTGTTAATAGACCTGCTCATTTGTGTCGAGGGGAGCTCTTGTGACAGCTAATTGTACTTTTGCAGTCCATGTGGTGGGAAGCGTCCGTGTGCTGCTCAGTAAGCAGTCTCATGGTTGTTCTTGTGTTGCCTGATGAGTCTGTTTGAATGTGTTATTAACTGGTTTACATTACTAACTAACACATGCTGCTGTCTTCTCTGTTAGCACACCACAAACACAGACACCCCATGTCCAGTATGTACTCCCTGCTGCTCCATTTGTATGAAGAATAAACTATTCCTTCTCCAGACTCTAATCAGAATTAAGTCCATATTGTTTCTGCCTCAACCAGCTTATATTTAATGCTAGAGTTTGAATCGACTGTGGAAGTTTTAGTGACAATTGTACTAAAACACATGAGGTTACTGGCAATGACAAAATGTGTCTCCTTTCATCAGTCGATGACTTTCTGATCAAATGTTTCTTTGTTGAACAGGCTGCTCGATAAGCTGAGGGCTCTGGTGACGATGAACGAGAACCTGAAGCAGCAGGAGCAGGAGTTCCGCACACACTGCAGAGTGAGCATCAATGCAATCACTGTCACTGTGTATCCTGCTGATGGTCACTAGCACCATTTCTTCCTCTTAATGCCTGAGCTCTGTATGCAGGAAGAGATGGCTCGTCTGCAGAGGAACATTCAGGAGCTAAAGTCTGCATCAGGACAGGATACAGAGGAAGAGAAGGTACATATCATACGCTGGCTGTCGTCTCTTACAGTATAAAGTCATTGTTGCCATTCCTAGATTGTGAGTAGGTGAAAGTTAACTTGAGCTTTCCACTCAGATAATCTTGATTTACAGCACTTTCTCTTTCCTTAGGAGAGGGACCAGCTGATAGACAAACAGTACAACACAGGGAGAGAGAAGCTACAGAAGATCCGCCTGCTCATGGTAACTACTTCTTAAACCACAGTAACGACTGTAAGTCGAACAGGTGGTCGGGTCTCTCGCGCCCCAATCCTGGGTTTCAGCACCGCTGTAAACGATGCGCAACAGACCCGACCACGTGTTTGCAATTTTTGTGCACCTCTTTATTGCGGCTGTCGACTAACACACACAGCTGCAGCGGTTGCGCATGTTATTATCCTGCATGCCGCGAATTTCTTTGTTCTCCCATAAAAGTGATTCCGATGTTAAACATTAGTTCCACGTGACTTTCCTGCCAGGTAACCTGCGCCCCACCTGTCAGAACTCTGCGCCCCCACACTTTGAGAACCAGTGATCTAAACTAACACAAACCTCCTGGTAAAGAGTAAATCAGTTTGCTAACCAGTTATTAAACCATGGACTTCACTCTTTTTAGTCTTTGGTACACTTCTATATTGTTCTTTCTTTGTGAGTTATGTTTGCTGATTTTTGGTTTGTGTTTTGTTGGTTTGGGAGAAGACTCAGTTTTGAGGGGATAACCGAGGCAGAAAAGCTGATTAAAATCTCTCACATTACAAAACTCACTATTGCTCTCGCTCTCTTTCACCACTGTCACTCCCAAAACTTCCCCCTCTTCCTAAGCAGCCAAATTCCATGTGTTGCCACATCATATTTTGATTGGTTGACAGTGGTGCATTTTTCTACCAGTAGGAAAGGGGGTGTTGTCCCCCATGTCTGTGACACTATATATTGTAACCCTACAATAATAATGAGTATATCCCAATAATCAAATGACCCCCTTGAGCAAGCACTTGGGTAGTTACCTATAAAAGTCCCTGAGTCAAACCTATCTCTTTGTGATACTCTGCAGTTGAGTAAAAAGGATGTTTTTTATGATGAAAAGTAAATTGGCCCCAGGACCGGGACGGGGAACTCCGAGAAGCTGTTTCTTTATCTCCTGTACCTCCACCATGGACGTCATGTTTTTGGTAGTGTCTGCATGCGTCTGTGTAATCAGTCTGTTTGTAAACACGCTAGCTCAAAAAGGTTTGAATGAATTCTGATAAAACTTGGTAAGGCTTTCTAAGTAGCTGCTATTTTGCCCCTCTGGTGTTTCTGGGCCCCACTTATCTATTGCCCATTCATCTTAGCCGCTATAACACCTGACAGGAGCTTCCATGTTGTGCTGAAACCAGTCCTTTCTGGGGGGATCCTTGGGGATCAGGACTGTCCTGCCTTCAGTTAGCCATTCTCAGTGTGTCTCATCTATTAGAAGCTTTGTTGGGGCTGTTCCTTGAGAATACACCTTGGATGGTTCACTGGAGAACATCTGGTTTATCTCCCTGGCTTCTATCTCTGTGGTCTCGTCGAAGGCAAGCCAAGGCTGTGAGTCTTTGCTTGGCTGTTTCCAAGGCCTCGGGAATGGACAGCTTGCTGTACTTGTTTTCACACCTTTGTGCAGCTCCAATAGTTGACTGATTTCCATCTGTGCTGCCTTGATCTTGGCCTCTAATCTCTTTCTCCGTGGAGGGTACTGCTCCTTGTGGCTGTTCATCTTAGAGCCGATCGCCTCAGTTATCACTGCTGCCATGGTGTCAGGTTTGTTTCAGTGATCGTCACATCAAGGATTGTCCATAATCCTTCATTCACATCTTCTGGTAGACCTCCAGAGTGTATGTCACGTAGTCTTGGTATTTGGCTATGGATGGTCCAGGTTTCCAGCTTAGTTATGATCCTCTTTTTTTTAGGTCCGCTTCTCTTGCACTCAATGTCTTCAATGCACTAGTTGTTCTTAGTGCTTGGTACCTACAAAACCCACGAAGTAGAATCCCTCACTGCTCACATCAATGCTGTGGATAAAAACAAAGTTCACCACGGAAGACACAAAGGATAACTGTTTGCTATTCCTGGACTGTGCTGTGCACATTGAGGAGAATGGAAACGTCAACATTGAAGTTTACCGGAAGCCCACACACATGGACCAGTACCACCTCTTTGACTGCCTGAAGGGACAAAGAAGGAACACACACATGTCAGGGAAGCGCTTAAAACATGTGGTTATCTTAATTGGCCTTTTATCAAGTCAGCAAAGAGGCACAGAAAAGAAGATCAGACACCAGCGAGGGAGGAAAAGAAAGACAAACGCAACAACATTGTCATCCCCTATGTAGCCGGTGTTCAGACCCAGCAACACACTCGGACACAAACTGGTTCACCCGAAAAACAAAACGCCAAAACACAGACTTAACAACGTGGTGTATGCTGTACAGTGCAGCGAGGAATGCCCAGACCTCTACATTGGAGAGACCAAACAGCCACTTCACAAGCGCATGGCACAACACAGAAGAGCCACCTCCACAGGACAAGACTCAGCAGTCCATCTGCATCTAAAGGTCAAAGGTCACTCTTTCGAGGATGCCAGTGTTCACATTTTGGACAGAGAGGACAGATGGTTTGAAAGAGGAGTGAAAGAAGTATCTATGTCCACTGTGAGTGACCATCTTTGAACAGAGGGCGGGGCTTATGACACCAACTCTCTGCCATCTATAATCCAGTTTTGAGATCCCTTCACAGACGCCTTAACGCCCACTCACATCCTGGGCCATCTGACCTCAGGAAATCACATGAATCACATAATAGGGTGGGGCTAGGTTTCCCAATGAGCTCACCTGAAACCTTGGCTGATTGTGAACCACACCCAGTTTCACACCTTGGCTCATGTGATTAGGTAGAGGATCATTAGGAGGTCATTTTGTCCCTCTCGGGGGGGACACTTCCACAGAGCTTAAATCTGGGACTCCCCACCATTTGACCCTGGAACAGAAGAATCTTCTCTGATGAGAGGTGAAACGTCTTCAAGCAACTTAAAGAAGTCCAGACGCTTTTCGTTCCACGCTCCTTAGAACCCTGACCTAGTAGTTGTTTACTTTTAGTCTAGATTTTGGGTGTCAGAAAATCCATAGGTGCTACATGCTCTTCATGTAACCCCTTCCACAAGAATTACTTGCATATTAATATACCAACAGCTCCCTATTCTCATCCCTTGTGCCTTCTTGCTCCATTAGCCTACTTCTCAATACTGGTTCCTCAATAACGGACACATACCTTGTTAATCCGGGCAACAGCTGAGTCTGTAAGGCTTCACTCATATATTTTTCGCGCAAACTTGAAGGTAGGCTGGGATGGCATGTGGGGCATTCTCTCAAACTTTTCCCACAAAGTTAGGAGAATGAAATTATCCAAAAAGTCTCCTTTCACTGGAGCTAAGGGTATGTGCTCAACTCCTGAAAAATAACCCCACATCATAATCCCCCATTCCACCAAACCTAGACAAGAGCTCCATGGAATGGGTTTCCATGACCAAGCAGCTGCATCCGAGGCTTTGTGTTGCACTTGATGTAAGGCTTGGATGCAGCTGCTCGACTGTGGAAACACATTCCACGAAGCTCTTGACTTTTACATGGCCTACCACTTCATGGCTGCGTTGCTGTCCTTCCCAGTGGCTTCCTATTTGTTATAAACCAACAATAGTTGACCGTGGAATATTTATTAGTAAGGAAACATCACGACTGGACTTGTTGCACAGGTGGCATCCTATCATAGTACGACGCTGGAATTCACAAATGTTTTTAGAAACAGGGGAGACTTCAAGTTACAGATGGACAAACTGGCGATCACTAACCAACCGCATTTAGTGGTGGACAAAAAGTCTTGTTTAGTGATCGATGTAGCTCGCCCAAGTGATAACTACATCAGGAACGTATTCACTCATTCATATATGTATATATCGCTTCACTCTTCACAGGCTCGCAGGAACCGAGAGATTGCCATCTTGCAGAGGAAGATTGATGAGGTGCCAAGCCGAGCTGAGCTAACACAGTATCAGAAGAGATTCATTGAACTCTACAGTCAAGGTAATTTCCTCCTGTTCATCTGCTTTGACCAGTGTTGTTGCTGTGTGCAGGTCACAAATCAACCCCATAAAAATCAGGAGTTATAAAGAAATGCTTGTTCTTTTTGTGCCTTTCAGTTTCTGCTACTCACAAAGAGACTAAGCAATTCTTCACTCTGTATAATACACTGGATGATAAGAAAGTCTATCTTGAAAAGGAGGTAAGTAACCACAGCAGACCCCTGTCAGCAGGGTGCACAATGATTGCCAGTAAACTTTCTGATAGCATTTGGCTTTTGTTTCACTTGAGATATGTGACTGATTAAACACCTTGGTAAGTGTCACAAATAGACTCGTACTTAATGCTATTCATAACAAAATTTTAATTTCTGTAGGTGAACCTCTTGAATTCTATTCATGACAACTTCCAACAGTAAGTATAATTCTGCTCATTTGCCACGTCTAACACTGATGTTGTTCCAGTGAATAGTTTTCTATCAGTACGTTTCTTAGCTCATTGCAGTGAAACAGTGCTAACGTCCTCTACTCTTGTTCAGAGCCATGTCGTCTTCAGCTGCCAAAGAGCAGTTCCTCAAACAGATGGAGCAGATAGTCGAGGGAATCAAACAGAATCGCATCAAGGTACAAGTCTTTCTGTAAAAGGGGAATTCTGCTGCTCTTCTCTTTATAAACGTGCGTTATAGGGATGGAACCAAATTACAGATTTAGTGGTCAGTATCAGTAACACACAAAAATGTTTTTGATAATCCTGACTACAGATAAGATAATGAGCTCAGGGTATATGGACCCGCATGTCACAGCCTAATGATGCAAAGTTTCTCCTGTTTCGAGACAGACTCCTGCAGTACTGGTATGGCATGTGTTTCTCTGCTTTTTCAGATGGAGAAAAAGAAGCAGGAGAACAAGATGAGGCGAGATCAGCTGAATGATGAGTACCTGGAGCTCCTTGACAAGCAGAGGCTGTATTTCAAAACTGTCAAGGACTTTAAAGAGGTAAGAAAAGCATGTGCTTAAGTGCTGCTGGCTGTTTCTGAGAGGGCATTTACAGTTAGAGCATACCATTACAATGAAAGATGAATGCTATTCAGTAAGCTATAGTGAGCTATTATTCTTAGGGATAAAGATGGGTTTCACAAAACATAACACCTAATCGTGTTGGAAGATACAAACTGTAGCCTTCAGAATGGCTGTGAAGCAAAAAAATCAAAAGTATCACAACCAACGACTGCCGTGTTAGACAGCGTTAGTGATAAATGGATGTGCCTACAAAAGTGAACAGTTAGTGTTTGTTGACAAATGTTTCATAGTTTGGTGTTTTATTGAAAAATGACCTCAGAATGATGTGAGGTCATTCGCAGTCATGCCTGAGTTTCTCCCAATCTCAGTTTGGAAAGCTACATTCAACAGAAAGTTATTCACTCAGTCATCTTCTCTCAAATTAACCCACTCATTATTTTATCGATTGTCCTGATTTAAGACATAGAAGCATTTAAAATAAGTCCCTGAACATCCTCTCTCCTGACCACCTCTAGATCTTTAAGCTTACAGGGTTGAAATACAAAACAAAAATTCTTAGCAGATTTCTATCTGAATGTGCTGTAACGATACAACATTTAAGTATAAGAAAGAAATTAGAATTATTATCATTTTCTTCAATGCCATGTGCTAACACAATGCAGAGAAGCTACCGAAACTTTACTATAAAACAGGTCAATAATTCAATTTAATTTTTATAGAATATATTGTCACATCTGAACAAGTCGCCTCAAAGCGCTTTATATTGTAAGGTAAAGACAACATTACTGTTACTAATTGAAGAAAACAGGTTCAGAGTTATAGCTCTAAGTGCTAATGACTTTGTGAATTTCCATTCATCCATCTTCTTCTGCTGCCTGGTCGTGGGCGCAGCAGACCTCCCCCTCCTCAGCCTCCTCCTCCAGCTCGGCCAGCCGAGAGAGATAATCCAGCGTCTAAAATCCTTAACCTGTCTCTAAGGGAGAGGCCAGCCAACTTTCAGAGAAAGCTCATTTACACCACTTCATCCATGATCTTGTTCTTTCAGGGTGAGGGTGGGGACGTAGATTCACCGGTAAATCGAAAGTTTGGCTTTTTCGCTCAGTTTTCTCTTCACCGTGACTGACAGGTTACCGCTTATTGACCCGTCTGTTGATCTCCCACTCCCCCCTCCCCTCACTTGTGAACAAGACCCCTAGATACTTCCCATTCCCGTCCCTGACCCAGAATGGGCACTCCACCCTTTTCAGAGTGAGGACCTGAGGTCCATCTTGTTCTTTCCATTCAGCTGAGTCCTGTGGACTTGCTTTACTGTGTGCAGGTATTTGGTGGTTGGAGCCTCTTTGTGGCTCCCATTTGCCCGTGGGATTACCAAGTACTTGTAGCTGACCTCAGTGTCTGCAATCCCCTCAGTTCTGACTACTAAGTAGTAGTTACCATCCAACTACACTTCTCCAGCCCGAAAGACATTCCAGTGCCGTTGGTGTAGATCAGTAAATCGATGTCTTGTTCACTCCTGGCATACAGCTTGATGTCATCCATGTAGAGGAGGTGGTTGGCATTGGTCCATTCCAGTCCAGGGGTTCAGGCCTATGCAGAACAGCAGTGGGAACAGAGCATTTCCTTGGTAAATCCTGCTCTTGATAGTGACTCATCCTATTGGCTTGAAGCTGGCCTGTAGTGATGTTGGCCACATCCCCATGGAGTTCCTAACGGAGGCTCTTAGGGTCCTGTTGATCTTTTGTAGTTCTAGGCATTCATGGATCCATGTGTGCGGCACTGAGTCATAGGCTTAGCCCACAGGTAGGTCTGGTCTTGCACTGTTGAGTGACTCTTCTGTCCACCAGTTGTTGGTGTTTCGCCCCTCCGGTGGTGCTCCTGCTAATTCCTTTCTGTGGCTCCACTCATGTATCGAGCCATAAGCCTGTTCACCTTAGCCACTATGATGCCTGACGGGAGCCTCAATGTGGTAGTGAGAAAACATATTTGGTAGTTGGATGGGACCAGTCTCCTCTAGGGATCCATGGGACTCGGGAATGTCCGGCCTTCAGTTAGCTGTTCTTTGTGTGTCGCATCCATTAGCAGCTGGTTCATTTGTGGTGCGAGGCAGTAGGCATGAATCATGACAGGGTATACCTCAGATGGTTTAGTAGAGCACAGCTGGTTTATTCTCCTGCCTTCTGTCTCTCTGGTAACAAGCTATACCTCTTCAACTCAGGCTGTGAGTCTGTGCTTGGCAGTCCTGCCACGGAGTAGATCAGCTGATTAGTCAGCTGTTTGGTGGGCTTCTGCACTTAAACCAGCGCCATCCTCAGCCTTTTCTTTAGCTTAAACCAGGAAAGAATGAAAAAAGCAGTCGGATAATTCAAGAAAACAGAAAAAATATTCACTGCAAATTATGCAAATCGATCACAAGACAATGTGAAAACAAACGTGCACACCACCATTTAGAAAACAGTGTGTCATAATATATTAAAACAAATTAACCAAATAAATTACATGACTTGTGTGCTGTATAGTTTGCAGTCAATAAAGCAACACTTTTGTTTCAGCAAACACAGTTAAATATGAAAAAAGTGGGAGTGTAAATCTTACCTATGTTCTATTCAAACATGCAAATATAACTGAAATAACAAGAGAAAAGAAGAAAAAACTTCAAGTTTTCATGTGTCTCTATAGCTACACAATGTGCATGCTGAAAAAGGAGTAGAATGAAGTTTTAATATGAATGTTAAATATAGATAATGTCACCAGATTACTTGTTTATGCCTCCCAGTGTTTGAATTGGGTGTCTGCGGTTGTAGCTTTCCAAACACAGAGTTGAAGAGTGCCATCTAGTGGACAAACTGTGCAGTGCCATCAAATAACATTGTTAAAAGGTGTTTCTCCCAGGTCTCGTTTTTGTTGGTGGTGGTGTTTTTTTTTTATGTGTATATATATCTTTGTTTTTTCCTGTGTATTTCCCATAATAACTGTCGATACCTATAGATCATAGCTAACATCAGCCAATAATATCAACCCACTCTAATGAAAAATGCTTTAATCAAAAAGATTTGCAGATTTGATTTGAGCTGTCTTTTTGATTAAAGAGTCACCTCAGAATTAAAAATGCTTTGCAGTAAGTCACAGGTCACGATTGAGTGGATTGAAATTAGGCTTTATTCTGAAAAATGATCATTGCATCCTAGTTTCTACTATAGGTCTGCCTTAAATAAAGGCTTGTTACTTTCTGCTGTTGAGGTCCATAATCTGTATTTCAGGAAATGTGCTATAATAATTTTCAACAATGACCCTCTGAGTGTAATGATCATGTAACAATAATAACTTTTTTCCTTTTTCCCCCACTAGGAGTGTCGGAAGAATGAGATGCTGCTGTCTAAACTGAGAGCTAAAGGAGCCTCTTAGCTCCGACCCTTCTGTTGGTGTGTTTCATTCTAAGTAATAAATATGATGCAAACCAGTTACTAATCGAATTACTTGGATGACTTTCATATAAAATCCTGGACATGAACTGTGTTCTTCACATGTGCCAGATGCAGCAGACTGGACGACATAAATGCAAATCATTGTTTTAATCACACCTTCTGTAACATCATAGTGTCACTAATTAAGACCACGATCAGCCAGTTCTACCTAATGTTTTACATTTCATGGTAAACATAACAATAAAAAACTTAACCAGAGCTCCACAACAGTCTTGCAAATCATGACATTGTGTTTAATAATACTGGGCAACTTTTACTAACTCCCCGCACTGCACTGACTGTGAAGTATACGTACGTCTTTATGCTGATCATGAGTTCAGGCTGCAACAGTGAAGAGAATCCCATAACCTGTAATAATGATGGTTTTGTGTTGGAGAGTTTCCTGGTGTATTTACATGCCTCTGAAGATTGTCTTCCATGTACCATCCAATCACCATGGATGCAGTATTTAATGAATAAAGAATTGCTTATACAAACAGCATAAACTCTGTGGTCTGTCTCATAGGATAACTAGTGCTGGGTATCGTTACTGATTTCTATAACTGATTCAATTCCAATTCACAAGGTCCTGATTCGATTCAATTCGATTCAGTTTTGCCTCAGACAGTCAGAAATGTAATTCTGATCATTTATCAGTACTGACACTTGTGAGACTTCATTAGAGGTGTAAGCGTCGCAGCCTTTGTGTCAAAGTAACTGATGATAAAACAGAAAAACATGAAGGAGATTTTCCTGGTCTGGCTTTTTATAGCAAATAACCTTAATCTCCTGAGACCCGAACTCTTCCACGGCATGCATTTTTAATTTCTCTTTGATATCTGGGCTGATTGGTACGGTGGCCCCTAGAGACAAAGCACGTACAAACTCCAAAACACTTGCAAAATCCAAAACACTTGCAAAATCCAAAACATGTGCAAACTCCAAAACACGTGCAAACTCCAAAACGCGCAAAATACAAAACACGTACAAAATACAAAACACGTACAAAATACAAAACACATACAAAATCCAAAACACAACGGAAGTGCTCCAGGACGCTAGGGGCAGTGTTGAGCTTTTGTTACCTAGTAACTACACAAGCCAGGAAGTACCAATGACCGGATTTGGGGTCTGCAGCCTTAAAGGCCGCATTTTAAGGCCGATTATGTCACAGCGACACGACGAAGACTGTCCCAATTCAAAGGCTGCTCGAAATGCGGCCCTCAAATGCGTCCTTAATTTCCCTGAATTTTAAAGATGGGTCGGTGTAGCCTTCATGGCCCAACATATCCCAGACTTCATAGCGCGGCGGTGGTGTGGATAATTTTGCCGAAAAAAAACGGCGGAAGCGGAGCGGACGAAGAGTAAACTTTCAGAAGTAAGTACTGAATATTATGTCACTTATTTATGCGCAAATGTTTTTATAATGAAGAACATTAAAACATTACTGTTGGCAACATGTCGGGAAAGTTATGTGACATTAGTGACATTTGTACTAACTTGGTTTTAAAGCCTTTACTTCAAAATATTCGCCGTTCAATAGCTGACTTTAATCTTACAGAGAAT